GGCGGCGGCGGCGGCCCCGGGCTGCCCGCTCGGGCGCGTCCCGTTGGCGGCGGCGGCTCCGCGCGCTGCTCCCGCCAGCCTTGTTGGCTCCCGCCTCTTGGGTCGGGATTAGCACCTTCCCCGCCGCGGCGCCTTGCCCGCCCCAGCCCGGCGCCCTCTCTGTTGCTCCTTTATGCAGCTGCCCCGCTCCCCGCCGCAGACTAAATGGCTCTTTGTGCCGAGGAAACTGAGGCAGGGATGGAGCGCGGAGCTGCCGTAGCTCGTGGCCGCGCAGGAGGCTGCGGCGGCCGGCGATGGTGCACAGGGGCCCCCGGGCGCTGTGGGGTGCTCCCTGCCACGGATGGGGCACAGCCGCCAGCCACCTCGGATCCGGCTGCGTTAGCGCCCAGTGCTGTGCTCCAGGAACACCGGTTACCGATGGATGGTGCCGCCCCAACCGGCGCCACGCTCCTTGGCGGCCGTGCCCTGCCGAGCGCGTGGTAGCCCCCAGCTCTGGGAATGCCTTGGAATGGCTGCCCCGTCCGGGATGCACAGCCAGGCAGCGCTGACCCACTGCGGGCAGCGCCCCGGGCAGCTGGGGAAGCTCGGCACGGCCCTGAAACGGGAGCTGCCGGGCACCACGTGCAGGTTTTTGCACCCGGGGCTGCACTGGAGGCCTTCCAAAGCATTCGCTCCAAGGGTGTTATCAAAACCAGCCCATTAGCAGTGTTCCGACATCCTCCCCGAGCCTGGAAAAAAAAGAAGTTGCTAAGGCCACGTGTTCCTGAGCCAGAGCAAACAGTGTTAACAGAAGCAAAAGCAAACGCTGTGCTTGCGCTCCTGAACTCCAGAGGGCTTTCCCGGCCCGCCGGCCAGCGTGCTGCGTCCAGAGGAGGGATGTGGGCGCTGCCGTGCGGGGAGCAGCGTGTGGGGCAAGTGGGAGGGTGGGTGGTGCAGACGTGCGGAGCAGCCCCTCGTGCCGCCCGGAGCGACCCCTCGTGCTGCCCGGAGCGGCCCCTCGCTGCCCGGAGCAGCCCCTCGTGCCACCCGGAGCGGCCCCTCGCTGCCCGGAGCGACCCCTCGTGCTGCCCGGAGCGGCCCCTCGTGCTGCCCGGAGTGGCCCCTCGCTGCCCGGAGCGGCCCCTCGTGCTGCCCGGAGCAACCCCTCATGCTGCCCGGAGCGGCCCCTCGCTGCCCGGAGCGGCCCCTCGTGCTACCCGGAGCGGCCCCTCGTGCTGCCCGGAGTGGCCCCTCGCTGCCCGGAGCGGCCCCTCGTGCTGCCCGGAGCAGCCCCTCGTGCTGCCCAGAGCGGCCCCTCGCTGCCCGGCGCCCTCTCTCCGCAGGCTGCCCCTGGTGCTGGCCGCCCTGCCCGCCATGGCTGCCGGCGAGGAGGTCTCGCCCGGCCTGCAGGACGCGTGGGGCGACTTCTGGCTCTTCCGCTTCTTCCTTAACGCTGCTGGCTACGCGAGCATCGTGGTGCCCGGCTTCCTCCTCATCCAGTACTTCAAGAGGAGGAATTACCTGGAGACAGGTAGGAGGAGCAGCCCSCTGCTGCCCTGTGAGCTCCCACCACCTCTGCCAGCCCCATCCGTGTGCTGGGGGGGTTCCCTGGGCCCCGTCTGTGGGACAGTGTCTGAGCATCTTGCAGCGCTGCCTCCCAGGGCTGTCCAGGAGCTGCCCTGAAACTCAATTTTCTCTCAGGCCCTCGTGCCAGAACGTGGAGATGCTCCCTGAGCAATTTGGAGTCTGCCTGAGGCAGCCGCTTGAGTAATACAAGAGCTCATCGTGACCCGCCTGCTCTGCCAGGCTGGGCAGATGGGCAAGATGGGAATTGGTTTCCGTCCTGCTCAAGGCCCCAGGCTCTGTTTAGCAGCAYTTGTTGTGTAGGGAAATGTCTAGTAGGGAGGGAGGCCTCCCTTCCCAAGCTGGTGTGGCTTGTGGCTTTCCAGACTGTGGCTGATTATTCTCCTGTGTTCTCTTATCCCCTTAAGGCCGGGGAATTTGCTTCCCTGTCATTAAATCGTGCGTGTTCGGCTCGGAGGTGAAGTCTGTGCACCAAGAGGATGGCTCTCTCCCGGCCCGAGCAGAGCCCACCGAGTCCTCTACAGCCCGACAGGTCTTCAAGCTGCTCTTCTGTGCTGCTGGTCTGCAGGTAGGAGCCCCGTGTGTGTCTGCACGAGTGGCCAACACACTCTGTGAGCTCATGTGGCCTTTAGCCACCAGCTCCTTTAACACCAGGGATGCAGCACTGTCCTTGCTCTGGGAAGGGCTGGAGGCTGAGACAGCCCCTTGGCCAGCACGGCTGCTGTGTGGCCTCTGGAGGTCTGTTCAGCTGGTGTCACCTGGGTTGGGACCTCTTGTCCATGCAATCAATGTCATCTGCAGTCACAGGTAGAGGAAGTGCTGTGATGCAGCATGGTTAGGACGGCTCTTGTTCTGGCCCCGCTGCCAAGCGGGGTGACAGGTTAACCCCTATCATTTCTCAGGCTCTTCTCTAGGTCCCCCCTCTTGGGCTGGTGTGTCCTCTCCTTGATGGATTGGATTTGGATACCAAAGAGAAATGTTTATGTAGCTACAGATAAAGAAGATTTTTTTAATCATTAAGGCCCAGTTACAGCCCACGTGACATTACGAAGGACAGCTTTCTGGGTCTGTGAGCACTAAAAATATAAAAGTGGGCAATTGTGATACAAAGCCCACATGTCCTGTAGCCAGCAGAAGACATCCAGTGCTCTGTCCTACTCTTCCAGTCSATTCAGATCTTCCGGGATCTGAACGTCATTTCAGTCTCTGTGATTCAGTTTCCCAGGAAGGGATGTGTGGTGAGATGATGCCAGTGTTCCTTCTGTGAGGGGCTTGGTGCTTTTCTACCTGGCTGTGTGCGTAGGAGAGGTGACAGGCAGCCAGTGGTCTTCCCTGGAGGACTATTTCCTTTGCTGAATTTGAAACTAGAATTATTTTGGATAGAAGAACTGGGTCTAGGGAGCTGAAAGTGAAAACCGAGGCCACTGGGAAAGTTGCCAGTAGCTGTCAGGGGAAGTTGGCACCAAAATGACGACCATGCATCAGTGCTGTTCAATGATCCTGTCCGTCTGGTTCAACAGGCAGCTTAAAATGTAACTGTTTATTGTACACCGGGATTTGCTTTGTGGGCTTCTCTTCCCTTGAAAATTGCAGCTGTAAACTGAGAAGAGCTGTTTTTGTTTGCTTGGAACTAGATGTTCCTGGCAGTGTGAAGTAGATTTCCAAATCTGTGTGCGACAGATTTCCAAAGACAGGTTTGGTGGGGGGCATCTCCATCTCACTGTATCTCAGGACTGAACATTTCCATGCTGGGACAGGCATCTCCCGGGGTCCATTCTTACCTGTGGTTGCTTGTAGCTGCTGGTGGTAGTTCTGATTGTCCCCGTGTTCCTCCTGCTGCGCAGGCCTCCTACCTGACGTGGGGTGTCCTCCAGGAACGTGTGATGACGAGGACGTATGGAGCTACTGACACAGACCCTGGCGAGAAGTTCAAGGACTCCCAGTTCCTGGTGTTCATGAACCGCATCCTGGCCTTCACGGTGGCTGGTCTGTACTGCGCCCTGACCAAGCAGCCACGCCACGGTGCTCCTATGTACAAATATTCCTTTGCCTCCCTCTCCAACATCCTGAGCAGCTGGTGCCAGTATGAGGCACTCAAATACATCAGCTTCCCCACACAGGTGCTGGCCAAGGCCTCCAAAGTGATCCCTGTGATGATGATGGGCAAGCTGGTGTCGCGCAAGAGTTACGAGTATTGGGAGTACCTGACCGCTGCCCTTATCTCCGTGGGGGTCAGCATGTTCCTGCTCTCCAGCGCTCCCAACCGGCACGCGTCCACCGTCACCACCTTCTCRGGCGTAGTGCTCCTGGCGGGCTACATCGTCTTCGACAGCTTCACCTCCAACTGGCAGGACGCCCTGTTCGCCTACAAGATGTCCCCCGTGCAGATGATGTTCGGCGTCAACGTCTTCTCCTGCCTCTTCACGGTGGGCTCGCTGCTGGAGCAGGGTGCCTTGCTGGAGTCGGGGCGCTTCATGGCGCGCCACTCGGAGTTCGCCGCCCACGCCGTGCTGCTCTCCGTGTGCTCTGCCTGCGGCCAGCTCTTCATCTTCTACACCATCAGCCAGTTCGGCGCCGCCGTCTTCACCATCATCATGACGCTCCGCCAGGCCTTTGCCATCCTGCTCTCCTGCCTCATCTACGGGCACGCCGTCACCGTCGTGGGCGGCCTGGGGGTCGCCGTGGTCTTCGTGGCCCTCTTCCTCCGCGTCTACGCTCGCAGCCGCATGAAGAAGCGAAGTAAGAAGCTGCCCCCGGGCGAGGGCCCTGTGCAGAAGGTCTAAGGAGCCGGGGCCGTGGCACTTGAGCTGTGCCCCTTGTCCTGCCTCTGTGTGGGGACACCTGCTGGATTTGTCCCCTCTTCGTGAACCCACTGAGAAGCAGGGTGGGGGATGGAYAGGCTGGACCGGTGACTCACCTTCCCACCTGCTTTTCTTGGGGAAGGGGCCAGAACAAATCCAGGGAAGCCAGGCATGCTCCGAGCTGCTACAACTCCAAGCCTTTCCGTTTGCCTTAATGGGTTGAGACTTGTAGCCAAGGCATGGGCCTGGGAGCTCAGCTGCTGGGAGAAAACCAGCATGAGGCTGCTGGGACTCCTGCCCGTGCCCAGCCTCTGAATCACGGCGTATCTCTAAGGTCACCGGTGAACAAGGGATGCTTTATTTCCTGGCACCATCTTGCCTCTGGCCAGTGCTCCTCTGTTTCTGTCACTAGTGCAGAGCTCAGGAGGAGGAAAGGGCAAGAGAACCATGTTACCTTTGAAATGCCTCGGTGCGAGGTGAGGGCCGAGCCTGCCCCAGAGGGGAACAGGGCAGGAGCTCGAGGTCCCCCCAGCCTTGGCTCCCCAGCCAGGAGGTGCTCCAGCCAGCTAGGGTAGCCACGGCGAGGGAAGGACTCCCCGCCTCTCCCGCCTTCGCTGGGAGATCTGCTCTGGAGAGCACTCTGGAATCGGAGCCGGTACCTCCCGGGTTAGTTTTCTCACTGCTGCCCCAACTCCCTTTCCTTTGCTTCTCCCAGCCCGGGCTGATGTTTCTGCGGCGCGAGGCTGGCCAGGGGCAGGCTTGCTCAGTTGTTTAGGTTTTTTTCTGTTACAGCTGCTGCTGGCACAGGCCAAAGGCTGCAGTGCCCAGAATGCCCCAGGATCACCTTGGGCTAGCTCCGTACCACAGTTTCTGGGCTTTCTAGTTGCCATTAGAAAAGCACAAATACTCCCTCTTCCTTTATTTTATTTTATTTTCTTTGCTGGCTGGAATCATCAGTCCCAGCTTTTTTGGGGGCCTGGCCACAACCAGAGATTGGGCAGATGCCCCTGCTGCAGTGGCAACAGGGAAGGAGCGCTTGGAAGCTGCTTCCCCAGCTCTTCCACAGCAGCCCAGATTTGAGTGGTTAACCCCTTTTCACCCTAACACAACCTGACTGACAAGCTGGCAGGTTTTGGTACTTTTGAAAGGCAACTTTTTTTTCCTCTCTCTCTCTTTTTATTTTATTAAATTAAAAAAAAAATATGCTGCATATAACATGCTGGGGGTAAATGTTCCTTTTTTCATCTACCCAGAAGAAGGGAAGAGACTCCCCAACCCATCCATATGGAGCAATGAAATCTTTTCTCTTTCCCTTCCAAGCGCAGGTGCCTCTGCCTGCAGGCAGGTGGGTGGCAGCCAGGTTTGGACACACAGCAGCAGGGGCTGATAGCCCCTCTGGGCAGCAGTCTCATACATGGCCCTGGAGAGCACGGCCACGACTGGAGCTCTGCTCGTGCAGGATACGGAAAGGGAGCTCCCTCAGGCAGGATACGGGAATGTGAAGGAGCTGTGAGCCTGCTCTGACCCACGCAGGGCTCTGGCTTGGCTCCCGGGTCCTCCATCCTGCCCCTAGCTCAGTGCAGCTGGTAGGGACTGTGCTGCATGTGGTTGCTGTGAGGTGCTGCTGCACCAGCCCCGGCTGTGCAGCTCACACAGCAGCAAGCGCATGAAGGGCACAGGCCCTGTCACAGAGGGACTCTGTGAAAAACCCTAATGCTGGCCTGTCAGGCTGAGCTGGGTACTGGGCTAAAAGAGCTGGGGAAAGCAAAAACTCAGCTGAGGACTACAGGCAAGATAGGGATGATTCCACAGCATGGGGTGAGGAGTGGAAGCCTCCATGGCTGGAGCCAGGAAGCACGGCCCTGGCTGGCAGCCTTTGGCTCCCTGCTGCTCCTGCTGCATAGGAGCAGTGCTCCTTGGGCTGCTGCTGGGGCAGCCTGCCTCACGCAGGAGCAGYGGGGTCCTGGGGCAGGTTGTGGGGAACAAAGGTGCTGTTGGATGGGGCTGGTTCCTGTTAGGACCTACAGGTAAAAGAGACACCCATAGTCCTGGCACAGCAGTGGGGTGGGAGGCAGCAGAGGGACATGTTAGCCCAGCCTGCTGCAATAACAGGGCTGGTGCAGAGCAGAGCCCTGGGCTTGGCAGCACACAGCCCTCAGCCCGTGCAGGTTTATTGATGTTATAACATCAAATGCTGCCCTTTGCCTCCACRCCCTAGTTACAAATTCCCCAAAATGCCTTTTTCCTTCAACTGCTGTCCCCAATCAAAAATGAAATGGGTTTTAACTAAAGCAAAAGTAACTGTTTCTACCTGCCAAGCGTAGAAATGAGATGTCTACCCTTTCTGATTTAAATCTAATTCTTAATATAATACGCTTTAAGAAAAGGAAAGTAAGGAACACCAGAACTTTTCCCTGCAAGTTAAAAAGAATCGCCTCACTGCTGGGAGCTGTTTTGGCAGATCCCTTCCTACACAAGAAGGGAATGGCGCTCGTGTCTCCTCCGTCCGCAGGCACTGCTGCCAGCTCCAGCGCTCGGAGCAGCCCCTCGCTCCGCAGGGAGGCCCACGGCGCCTGCCCAGGGCTGCCCCTGCCGCCCCTCGTGCACCACGGACACTGCCGGCCGCCCCTCCACGCTGTGCCCCCCGCGTCGCTTCCCCTGCCCAACCCAGGGGGCTGCCCCCTCCTAGCGGGGCGCAGCTCCGAGCACACAGGTTTGGCAGAGGTGAGGAGCAGACAGAGCAGGGTGGTGCTCTGCACCCGCAGCTTTAGTCACAGCACAGGAAAAGAACACCCGCGGTGGGAGGAGAGGCTGGGGTTCAGCACACCCTGCCATGAGCACGGCCTGGGCGCCCAGCAGAGGCTGCCCGAGCCCCACGCTGAGCCCTCCTTTCTGCCCGCCACGCTGCGAGGGAGCAGGCAGGCGGCTCCTGCCGCAGCTCCAGCCCACAGAGAGGCTCAGATCAGAGCAGCCGGCAGCACGAGCTGAGCCTGGCCCAGCTTGCCGCACTGAGGAGCACAGCTTGGAACTGTCTGCTGCACTCTAAGACATGCAGAAGGCCACAGAGGAGAGCTGGAGGTGACCCCTACAAAAGGGGGACTGCCTCACCTCAGCCCTTAGTACTGCATGGGAAGGACTGGAGAGGAAAGCAGCAGCTGAGGCCGAGCTCTGAAAGCCAGTCAAGGATACCAGGTACCATGGGACACATGCTCCTCTCCATACAGCAACTCAGGGAGAACATGAGCAACTTGGACCTGGTGGAGTTGAAGGCCTACAGGTCATCTCTCCTTGTCCTCCAGATGATGCTCCAGCTGCATTTCATGCATGCAAAGAGCAGGACCTTTATACTTCAGTATCAAGGAGGAGGAGAGCTAAGGCCAAAGGTTTGGGGTGGTGGGTTCCTWTTTCTGCTCAGAGGCAGCAACCCCCCAACACAGCTCATTTTACAGGGGACACACAGCAGAGCAGCTTCCAGTAGGAGAAGTCAGAATAAGGMTTTATCAACCTGGCCCCTCCAAGCGCTGCAGTAACTGTATGTAACCCCCCTAATATGTACCCAGCAGAGGACAACAGCCCYCAACTGCCAGAGCTGAGGTGAGCGCTCAGCCTGTTCCTCGAGAGCAGCAGCAAGTTCTGCCCAACCCTCTCACAGGACTCGGCTTCTCTAGGGGCATGGCCCCTCACCTTYCTCTGGGCAGCACCAGCCTCTGGCACAAAACACAAAGAACCACCACCACGTAAACCACATTCTGATACTTTTAATTCCAGTAAAACAAAATAGAAAAATAATCAAGAAAATAACCCAGCCAACCAGAATACAGCCACCTATTCTGGGGGTGCAGGGAGGCAGCAGCTTGAAGGAAGGGCTTTCCCTAACTCAATAATTTGAAGTGCTTCATGACTACTGCGTAATACAGGGGGCTCATGGGGAGAAAGGAAGCCTTAGCCTTTCACCCCCCTTCCCTTACTACATGAGCAGAAAGACTCCTCTTCACCAGCCCACAGCCTCAATCTTGGTCTTCTCTTCATCCTTAGAGGCTGACTCTTGTTCCTTCTCACTTCCCTCATCTGCTTCCTCATCATCACTGATCTTTTTCCTACTCTCTCCAGCTGCCAGGAGACAAACAAAAAGATGTCAGGGCCATGCGCTTGGCCCAAAGCAAATAATATTAGAAGCCCTTTTGCTCCCAAAGGGGTATTAATGGGTGTATCAGAAAGCCCAGCTCACACAATACCCAGAAACCAGGCTCTCTCCCAAAGTTAGATTTCCTGATTCTCTCAGGACTAAGGTCTGCATCAGCGAAAAGTGAAGTGAGAGGCAGAAAACTCTCCTCCTCTCTCCAGGGCTGGTTTACATGACCCATAGACAACCAGGAACGGGGCTGGATACCCCTCCAGCCCACGCTCACCCACGGCTAAACAAGGCCAAGAACACGGCTGCTCCATAGGCCAGGAGCTGGGGAGAAAGGCACTACCTGCCCTTCTCCACCCTGCTCCACTCCAACTCTCCAGTTGGTCCCCAGAGCCCTTCTCTTGCCCACACAGAGCGCGACAGGGCAGCCCCGGGACCGGGAGCGCCTCTCCTGCTTCTTCACCATGTCTCTGGCGCGCCGCTCCTCCTCGTCACTGCTCTGCCTGGCTCTTTCACACACAGGATCACTTTGGTGCCTGTCCTACAGACTCACCTATACTGTAACAACAGACCCAGCAGCACGAAAGGCGTAAATACCCTCCTCCAGGAGCGGCAGCAACGTGAGGGTTTTGGTGCTGGTGTTGGTGTTGGTGTTGGTGTGGTGTTGGTGTTGGTGTTGGTGTTACCGCCCCGCCTCGCGCCGCCCACCGAATCCTGCCGCCTTAAAGTGGCCATGTTTGTGGCAGGCCCAAGCCCCGCGCGGTGCGGTCCCACCGCTACGGCCCGTTTGAGCGCGAGGCCGGCGTGGGGGCTATTTCCCGCGGAGGCGCCCTGCGGTGAGGAGAACCCTTGCAGCGGCTCCGTGCGGGAGCTGGGGCGGCTCCGCGGGCTCGGGGCGTTCGCCGCTGTGGCGGGCGGCGCTGGGCAGCCGCAGCCCGCGTGCAGGTGTCGAGGCGGCCGGGCCGTTCTGCTCTGCTCTGCTCTCCTTCGCTCCGCTCCGCTCCTCGGTGGCGGCTGCAGCGCGGGGCCCGGCCCCGCTCCCCCGCGGCGGTCCCGCTGCTCGGCGGTGCCGGCGGTGCGTCCCAGGCGCGCCCGGGTGTGGGGAAGGGGGCGCGTTAGTCCCTGCCAGCGTTCCCCTGTAGAGCGGGGCTCTGCGCTGCGTGCCCAGTGGGAGCCGGTGCGGCCTGGGGCTGCGCGCCTGGCCCCCAGGGCCCGTGGGTGGGCAGGCAGCGCAGAGCGGCCCTTGGGCACCCCCTGCTCTCGCCCCTGCCTGCGCTGGGACCGGAGCCGCCCGATGGGCGGGTGCGGGCTGAGCACGAGGTGGCTCTGGGGTGGGGAGCTGCAGGGAGGGACGGGAGGTGCCGGCCCCAGGGCAGGTAGCAGGGCCCCTCGCTGCCTGTGCCCCACAGTGTTGGCACCTCCATAGCTGGGCCCCTTGCTGCCTGCGCCCCGTGGTGTTGGCACCTCCATAGCTGGGCCCCTCACTGCCTGTGCCCCGCAGTTTTGGCACCTCCATAGCTGGGCCCCTCGCTGCCTGCGCCCCGTGGTGTTGGCACCTCCATAGCTGGGCCCCTCACTGCCCTGTGCCCTGCAGTGTTGGCACCTCCATAGCTGGGCCCCTCGCTGCCTGCGCCCCGTGGTGTTGGCACCTCCATAGCAGGTCGCTCCTGCAGCTCTCCTGGGTCCAGGAACCAAGTGCAGAGCCGCCGGTCCCGGTGCCATCCCTAGCCGATGCAGCCATGGCCTGGACACGCTGGCTTTTTGAAAGCATGGGCACAAGCCAGGGGCGCAGCAGGGCAGTGCGGGATGGAGGGGACAGGCAGCACCCTAGGGACTTTGCTGAGGGATGTGCTGCAAGGATCGCATCAGGACTGCGGGGTGCAGAGCTGGGCTCAGCAGAGCAGACCGTTCTCCATCACAGCTGAACTTGCCAGGGAAGGAGTTCAGGAAGMGTCGTGGCCAGCAGCAGCCAAGGGCACACGGCATAACTCCTGTGCCGTGTCCTCGCTGGAAGGCACACAGGCCTGAGTGCCCCTTGGGGCAGAGCCAGGGCGATCTGTGACCCCCGCGYGGCTGCGAGCGCGGCTGGGCTGCGGGGCCTGGCGCGGGCTGAGGCCGTGCACTTCTCAGCGGCGGCGGGAGGTGGCAGCCCAGCGGCTCGCGCGCTGCAGGGGCTGCCGCCCGGGGCTGCCGGGACACGCGGGGCAGCAGCGCAGCCCTGCGCCCGGCGCTGCTGCTAGTCCCTGCGGGCCCCTGCAGGCCCRGGGAGCTGCCACCCCCTCCTCCGTTCAGCACCTGCCTGTGACCCTCTTCAGGTGCCACAGAGACAGACACACGGACCCGGTTTTGGTCTTTTTATAGAAAAAGGCAACTGTACAGATACCATTTATACAAAGCAGGGGAGAAACAAGGRGGAGGCCGGGCTCCCCTGGCAGCACACAGACAGCAGGGCAGTGCAGAGCAGAGGGAGCCTGCTTTTCTCTCACACATCGTGGTGCCCTCGGCTGTCCCAGCAACAGGACATGAGGCTGGATCACTGACCTTTTTTTGGGAGGCTGGGAAACAGGCAGGGAACAAAGGCAAAGAGAGGGAGGAAAGGCAGGGTGCCTCGTTCTTCGTCCGTCTCGCCCTGGTGTTGGATGGCAGCTCTTTGGGTGGGACGTGCATGGGTCCCTCCGATGCTCCTGTGCAGGAGGACAGGCGGGCAGTGGGGGGGGAGGGAGGACAGCAGGGCAGGCTGGGGCTCTCCTTCCTAGTCACAGCCTCCCCGGTAGGGGAGAGCTTGGGGTGCAGGAAGGAGAGAAGAGGAGAGCAAGTCCCCAGGTGCCTCAGGAACAGGAGCGGGAAAGGAAATGGGGACAGCAGCCCTCAGCTCTGCCTGTCAGCGAGGAGGTAGCTGAGAGCGGCTGTAGGTCTCGAGCTGGGGGTTACGCAGCAGGAGGGGGTGGCTGGACCTCTGCGAGATCCCAGGGGTCTTGCAGCACGGCAAAGGCACGTGGGCCTGAAGGCATCACACAGCCGAGCGCGGCAGAGCCAGGCCAGCCCCGGGCAGCGGAACCGTCTCTGGCTGTAATGTGTGCTCGGGCAGTACAATTCGGCGGGGCGGGCGCGATGTTTCGTCCCCAGAGCGCCGAGTGCCCAGGGCCTCGGAGGAGGCTGCGGAGCCATCTGTGTCCGTGCRGCCTCCAGGCACCTCTGCTAGATGAGAATTCCAAATAGGAAGGAGATGGCGGCTCCTAGGGCCAAGCCCAGCGAGAGGAAAAAGGCCATGACTGCTCCGGCTGTTTCTGCTTCGTGAATGAGCACCTTCCTGCAGGGGAAAGAGGGGTCAGGCCTGTCCTTGGACAGCACGCACCACACACCACGCAGGGAGAAGCAGCTGTGTCTCTCCATGGCATGGGAATGACCAGAGCAAATCCCGCTCGGCTCCAGGAGCCTGTCCCTCAACTATGGGCTCCAAGACAAGAGTGCGTTGCAGAGACGCGTCGAGGCTGCTGGCGTCAAGGGCTCTGCTCCCGGCTCCTGCCCCACAGCCAGCCTGGCTGTGCATGCCGGGGCTGTGCGCTGCCTCTGCTGCCCCCTCACCTGCGCTGCGCTGCCCTCCGCTCTCCTGCTATGCCCAGCCTCTTCCCCGTGGGCACAGAGGGAAAACAGGGATCCCAGACCATGGCAGCCCCGGCTTCAGGATGTAACATGCCTCGGAGAGAGGACACAGGGTTGCCTTCCCAGTGGGGAGGCAGTGGGACTGTCCCCTCTGCCCTGGGGCAATGCAGAGCCAGGGCTAGGCAGAACCTGGGCACGAGCTGTGGGGCCTGGGCTGGTCCCCAAAGGTGAAGCCAGCCCTTGCCTCGTCCCGAGCTGCTACTCACTTGGGCCCGAAGCACATGCAGAGGCTGGCCAGGTAGCCATTGGAGAGGGAGAAGAAGATCATGAAGACGATGTACCAGGCGTCATGAGAGAAGATGATGGGCAGGTATTTGCGGGACTTCACRTTGCACAGCATGAAAAGGGGTATGAAGATGACACGTAGGGCCACCATCAGTGGCAGGAGGCAGCTGTCCTTGCCAGGCTGGGAGAGAAACACAYGACACTGAGTTAGCTGGATTCTCCTTCCCAAAGCCAGGGGCAGCCRCTGCTGTCTGATCTGAGGCTGCACAGAGCCGTTCAGGACAAAGCTGCTCAAAGCCTTCTCCAGTCACAAAATCTCAGTGTCACCTTCTGATGCAAGGCTAATGTGAAGGCAGTTCATGACCTACTCTCTGCAAGGCTTCTAGACACAGCTCCTGCCTGCTCTCCTGCAGTATGTATCTCTGGGTCTGTCTATCCTGACCCTATAGCTTCCTGCATCTGGTTAGGTGCCCCCAGCATCAGAGACACTTGAAGCTTGGGGGGGGCTCCTCCCTTTTTTCCTCTAACCTTCGAGGTATTGGCTAGGCCATCACTCACAGGACGGTTCTCACTAGGAGACGTCCGTGGCAGCTGTGGGCGCCGCCCAGAGCCTTTAGCCGGCTCCATAAGGAGAGCTGCAGCAGGGAGCAGGGACAAGGACCAGCGGCCAGGCCCCACAGAGCMGTCAGCATCCGAGGCTCTGGGGAAAGACCAGATACACGGGGGGGAACATCTGCCTTGCAGGAGCAGAGAAGAGAGACAGGGCACCTGTCTGCCATGTCTAACTACTGCCCTAAAAATCCCGTTCCAGCTGACTTGTGGGGCAGCAGCACCAGGACCAAGATATTGAGCTGGACTGTGCGGGTGACAAAGCCTGGAACAAGTTGCCCAGGGAGGTTGTGGAGTCTCCTTCTCCGGAGGCCTTCAAAACCCACCTGGATGCCACCCCTGTGCTCTGGATGTCCCTGCTGGAGCAGGGGGGTTGGACTAGATGATCTCTAGAGGTCCTTTCCAGCTTCAACTGTTCTGTGATTCTGTGAAACAATAAGTGAGCCTTATGCACACGCACAGCCCCATCTCGCCCTGCAGCAGACCACTGCACAGGTCAAGGCTGGCTGAGGTAAATCCCTTCTGGCCCAGGGGTGGTGTCTCCAGGGGCTTCTTCATGGTCACACTGAGTAACTGAGGCAACATGGTTATATCTGTGGGTAAGCCCACAAAAGCAGCATCCTGTTTTGCTCWGTGAGCGGGTGAAGAAAAGGAGAGAGCAGGGCCTTGACCAGGGAAACAAGGCCCAAACCACACGCACTCAAACTTTCCGTGCAGTGTTGTTTTGGAAGTGTCTCCTGCTGGGTCATCCCACTACTGGGATGTAGCCTGGCCAGCAGGCCATGTGGCTGGTGGCCAAGGGCAGCCAGCAGCGATGGCCAGGAGAAAAGCAGCTCCAGGCTGCAGGGAAACCCAGCACAGCCAGGCCCGGACAGACCCCATGTCGTGTGGTGCTGTAAGGAGTTTCTTCAAACAAACAGCCTGAACAATGTAGGGGGAAATAGAGCTTGGGGGGGTGGGTGAAGARACAGGAAGGGATGCAGACAGCAGAGCCCCCTTCCTCGCCCCATGCCACGGCAGCCTCTGCGCCCACCACTTGGCCTCAGCAGCTCTGAACTGCRCAGGAGAGTTGGCAGCAAGGGCATGTGGGACATGGCGGGGGACATTTGGTGCCCCACAGGGCAATAGCTCTGCCCTGCTCCCAGGCAGGGCTTTCTAAAGCAGCTGTGTGGTGTGCGGAGGTTGTATTCTGGGCTGCCCTGTCTTTCACCCGCCTGTCCTGCCGCCATCCTGCCCGGCTGTTTGCTTAGCTGGAGTGAAGGTTTGTTTACAAAGAGGCTGGAACGGAGAAAGCAGCTTCCTCCAAACCACGCAAAAGAGGAGTGGGAGGAGGATACTCTGACTCTCAGATCTAACCCATACATTTTTGCTTTGCACTCCAAGCCAGGGCAGGAGTCAGCCCAGGGCCTCCTTCTTCCCTGGAGCSCCAGACAGCTGCCCCAGCAAGAGGCACGGACAGGCAGCTTAGGGATGGAGAGTGCACRGATGCTCCAGGAGCAGAGCCTGAGCACTTCCTCCCTGTCCCATACCTACCCATGTGAACAGGGCTGTGAGACTCCGTCCTGCCCAGTCGAAGACATTAAATACCAGGAAACAGGAGACTGGGATGAAGTAATGTTCTGCAGAAGGGAAAAAATGTCACTGAGAAGCTGCACAGAGACCATCTCGCAGGACGGAGCTCTCCTGGCTTCCCACAAAGGACCGAAACTCTCCAGTCAGGTCAGCATCTGCATCCAAGCCATCACACGATGGTCTTCTCCATTCAGGCACTCCTTTAACTTCAGACCCCGCTTTCTTCCCTCCCATTTAGCTCTTTCCCAGTCTTATCTTCCCCCCAGCCCTATACCTGGGCACACTTACCCCACTTGTTTCCCTCCCCAAGTTCGGTCGACACCTTAGCTGTGATGGAAGGAAAGACTCCAATGGTGACAGTGAAGACAAAGCAGACGGACAGAGCCATGACCCAGAGCTGGGGAAGTTAAAGAAAGGGGCTGGTATCAAACATGGGCAAAGACACCAGTGTAGGGGGGACCATAATACCCCCTGTAATGTCCTACACTTGCGTCCATCCCCTGACACAAGGTGAAGGGCAGGGGTTGCTGGTAACTCACAAACCTTCTTAAAAATGGAGAAGACCGAGGGCTTCTCATCAGGGTTGTGGATAGGGATGATCTTTGAGTTATTCTGCTCCACCCCATTGGGTTCATCTGCAGAGAGAAAAATGAGAGTAGGGTGTAGCTGACAGCAGGTATCTTCAGTCCTTCTGTCTCACCCTTCTGCTTGGCTCTTCCTCCCTTGCTCTTCCTCCTCTCCATTCCTCACCTTTCTTAATCAGGTCTCTCTTGGTCTCCAGCTCTGCGTGGTACACATGGTACTCTGTCTTATCCTTCATGGAGTAGTAGCGGAAGAAATCCTGCAGAGACACAGTCCCTGGGAACTCGTTCCCATGTGGGAAAGAAGGCTATGGGGGAATGGATGTTTGGGGCTATGTGGTAACAGCAGGCCACGCAACATGGGCAAAGTTATTTGTTCCAGGTGTCTCTGATACCCATGTTTTCCAGCTCTCCCAGGGACTCACTTATATGCAGTACCTCAGGATACAAAGATTTGTGCTGGGAAGTCCTACAGACAGGTTCCCTGCCATGACCCAGGAGGCGGATGTGCTGCCATGTGCAAAGACCCCCAAAGAYCCTACCCCACAAAGGCGGCCAAATCTTACCAAGCGAGGCAAAACGATGTAGGAGAAGATTGCCAGCAYGATCGCCACGCACGCCGTGGCGAAGTAACCAATGTAGCTCTCTGGCTGCTGAGCACCAACTGGGAGCACAGGAAGGRAGGAGACAGGGAGGAAAAGGAAGAGGATGAAGGAGGCAAGGGGAGCAAAGTCCTGACACCATCTCCAACCCATCCCCACAGTGTGATCCCAGGATGAGGCCCCGCAGGGGACGAGGTGCCCTGCCTGTGCCCTGCTCTGCTTGCTGCAGTCTCTAGCCAGCCCTGTTGGCAGCAGCAGTGCAGGAAGGCCCTCACCCACCCATGGGCAGGAATTACTCACTGGCAATACTGAAGATCATCACCAGGGCAGCAAAGGTTCCTGCCAAGCCCTGCCCGCTCATGATGGGAGCCGTGTAGCTGGCGGGCAGGAGCCCCGCCAGGCCGAAGAGGCTGCTTTGGAGGATGGCACCAAAGGCTGCAGAGGAGAAGGACAAGCAGAAATGAGCAACCAAAGGACTGTGCCTCTGCAAGAAACCACCTTGCAACCAGCACTGTGGCCCTGAGGAGCAAGACAGGGACCTTTCTCCTCCCCCTTCCCCTTGCTCTCCTGCAGTAGGGTTTGTGCTCTCCTCCAACACAGGTCAGTCCTAGCTGGGCGGCTCTGATTTGCACAAGAGTTTGAGGCACTGGCCTTTTCCTTCCTCCCCATGCCCCACTCACAGTTGATGAAGACTATGCTGATCATGGTGAAGACAAAGAAGGGAAGAGGCTCCATGGTGACTTTCACCATGACCGCRGTGATTAGGAACACCAGCCCGATGGCCACCAAGCTGCCCAACATGCGGATCTGCTGGGGAATCCTGCAAGAAAGAATCTCAGTGAGGAAAACCCACCCTCTACAGGCACCCAAAGCCAGGGCCTAGACTCTCCCATGGGAGGCCAGCCAACCCACAGCACAGGAGACTGATTTTTTGTCCTTGCTTTGGCTCTGTACAAGCGGCAATTTGGCTCAGCGCTGCGGTGGGAGAACAGGTGAGAGTTGGGACCAAGATACAGGTCCCCCCTGTGGACAGGGGCTCGCAGGAGCAAGGATGGGGCAAGGCTCACCGCTGGTGGATGAAAGAGTTGAGGCAGGTGAAGACGAGGAGTGGCACCATGGCACAGAGCGTCATGAAGTTGTCAAACATGGACTGCAGGTAGGAGCAGGGGAGGGTGGCCCTAGCAGTCTCATTTGAGAAGCAGTTCACATTCTCCGGGTCTGCCAGGCGGTCGATGAAATACTGCAAGGGAAGGGGCCAGGTGGGGCTGAGCTGCTGCACAGCTTCCCCCGGCACATTCAGGCTGCACGAGCCACCCTCCCCAAGGCCAGGGCTCCTCTTGCCACCTCAGTGCCACYCGTGTCCCATGAAGGTTACCCACACTCCAACCCCCCATCTACAAATGTTGGGGGCTTTACACTGTCCCATACTGTCATACCCACCCTGCCATCCCTAGAAGTGACATACGGTGATTACTGACACCAAGAGTGGTGGCACAGAAGCTCTCACCTTCCTGGCAATCATGAAGAAATTCCATGGCAGCAATGTTCCCAGCCCAAGGATGAAGAAGATCAGCCAGACACCTTTATACCTGTGAGGGGGACAAAGCTGCTAAGTGCAGGGGACAAGGGCCAAATTATCACCTCTCTTCCTGACTACCCTCCAACCCATTGGGGGACACAGTGGGAGGAGGAGGAGCGAGGATGGAAATTCACAACCTAGTGTTTTCTGTGGGACCAGTGCTCTTAACAGCAGGTGACACCAGCGTGGCATAARGGATTTACTTCCCCTGGGGTCTGCCACTGGTCCTCATATGTCCCCCACAGCCCCTGCTCGCCTAGCCCCAGGTCTCTGGCATAGATGTGGCCCTGCACAGGGGCCAGAGGAGGCCCTTCCTGGGCCCTGGCAGTGCTTCCTAGCAGGGAGGAAAGCAGGGGGAGGCTGCTTGCTCCCAGCACATGTACCCAGATGCACAGCGCCTGTTGCCAGAGCAGCGAGGGAGTCACGCTAYGCAGGAAGAGCAGCACCATGTCCCAGTACTGGCTGCACAGTGCCCATCTCCTATGGAAAAACTGACAGCAAGAGCCTCTTGGAAAAAAGGGACTCTGCAGGCAGGGACGGAACAGGAAGATCCGGAGGCCCGGCTGCCCATGGATTGGGAGCAGCACGGGCAGCTCCAGCACGCTCTCCAGCGCACAGCTTGGAGGGAGCAGGCAATGAACTGGGCACAGTGGTCTGGGCCATGGGCTTGGGGCCTGGAGGTGCCTCTAACCCCTCCAGCTTGCAGCTCACAGCAACACGGTGTCCTGAGGAGCAGGACACAAGTGGGCCCTTCAGTATCACAGCTCTGTAGCTCACATAATGTGCAGGACAGGTGCCTGTCCCGCTCAGAGCTCCTGGTGTCCTGGGTATGGCCCCAGATGGAGGCCCAGCCCTACCTATCTTGGGGCCCGTCTCTTGTTGTCATCTTGCGCGGCGTGGTTCAGCAACGGTCCCTGCGGCTCTCCTGGTTGCTCTCCGTCTGCAAAACAGAGACAGGGTTTTACTGGGGGCTGAGTTACACAGGCCACTCTGGATGAGCTCCCCACAGGCCTGGGAGACAAACAGAGCTCTGCAACTGGCAAGAGCATCACACAGCAGCCTTGGAAATCKGCAGCTCCAGGAGGCTGATGGACAGGGCCATGTGCTGCTGGCCACACGGTGCTCAACCCTTTCCTCTGACAGGGAGGACACTTGTATGAGCCACCAAGCTGCTCTAGCCCAGCTGCCCCGCTGCTCCACTGCAGGCTCCTAAGGGACTTCTGAGCCTGCTGCTCCCTGCTCCCAATCCTCGTGCTGCGAGCAGAGCACATGTGCAGCGGGCTGGGTCCCCCCTGCCACCTCCACATCAATCCAACACCCAGGGCACGGCAGGACAAAGGACATATTCAGTGACTCCTCTGGTCAGAACCACACAGACCCTCCATTCCCAATTCCCTCTTGCAGCCCGTTCGTTCCTGCAGCACCCTTGGAAGCAGCATTCCCAGGTCCTCGGGGAGCCTGGCACTGCTCGTCTCCCCCTTTTGCCACCTTGCTGCTCAACAAATCCTCCAGCCTGCTCCATCCATCCCTCCCTCCCCGTGCAGCGGGAGCAGGATTAGCAGCCCAGGAGAAGCCACAGGCCTTGTCCTTTTCCAGCCGGGCTGGCACAGCATTGGGTATCCCGTCACTGCTCCCAGGGTTTCATCCACACGGAGGCTCCTGGTGGGCATGCCGCTAGGCATGGCCCTCAGCCGGCTGCCGCTCCTGCTTCCCAGCGGCCGGCAGCAGCATCCCGGTGCCGGCGCCGGCTCCGGCTCCCGCCAGCAGGCCCGCGGGGCCGGCACACCGCAGCCTGCTGGGAGCTGTAGTCCACGCCAGACCCGGCGTGTCTTAAAGGCACCCGGGGCCGGGCGTCGCCGCCGGCGCGCGCGTCCTTCATCTCTGCCCTTTCCRCGCGGAGCAGGGCAGGGCCGGGCACGGCTCGGCCATCGCGCGGCGTGCGGGAGAGCTCACGCGCACGGCAGGAGAAGTGAGGGCCGACAAGGCGCGCGGAGTGGCCGGGGAGGCCCCTTGGCTGMTCGGAAAAGCCCTGTGAGGCCAAGGGGCAGGTGTGCGCAGGACGGCGCTGGCCCCGGCACACGGGCAGCTCGCACCCCATAGATAGCGCTGGCTCRCACCGGGGTAAGGCTGCTTGGTAAGGCTCCCCTGTGGGAAGGCTCCTTCCCATGCCAACGGCTCGGGCTACAAAGGTTCCTCTCTGCCCYGTGGGCTCTGTGCGCTCCCGATCCCGGCCGGGGGGCGGCCAGCAGCAGCTCGCTGAGACGCCGCGCGGCTCCCGGCACTCTGCCGGTGGGACCGACCCCTCGCACATACTCGTCCTGTGCAAACAGCCTCTCCCGAGATGTATCCCGCGCTGCGCAGAGAAAACCAGCGGGTCCCAAGCCCCTGGCTCTGCTCTCCGCTTCCCGCTGCTCCCACGGGTAGCTAGGGCAGGGACAGGCCRCACAGACCTACCTGGGGAGGACGAGCAGCGCTGGGCCCGCGGGCCGATCCTCTCCCTGTGCCTGGGCAGCGTATTTGAGGGCAACCCCTCCCTTGCATTCCCCCCAGCCTAGGGATGAGCCTCAGGCCCCTGCTTGAGTCATGGCTGGGGCCACGCGTCCAGCGGCATCCCAGAGGAGGAGGAGGAGGAGAGGTGTCAGGTACCAGGCTGGCGGGCAGCCCGGCGCTGCTGCCCGCGGAAGGGAGGGAACAACGGGAGCCGCCCGCGGCAGGGCCACCCGCCAGGGAGACGCTCCGTGGAGCCGCTCCAAGGAGCCAGGGAGCCGCTCCATGTGTCCCGCGTGCGGAGCGCCGACAGCGCCGTCCTCGCGGCAGGCCATGCCCGCCCGCCCGGCCGCAGCCTCCTGCCGGCTTTGTTTATTTTCCATCTCACTTTACTAAGTGCCTTCTAATTTTTTTTTTTCCACAAAGAGCCAGTCCCTGCCAAGGGGCACGCGTGTCAGCGCTCATTACGGCAGGAAACGCGTCCAGCCGCCAGCTCTTACAAACAACCCTACAATAAACAGAGAAGGTCAAACACGCCAGCTCAAGCGACAGGTGGCAACGCCGCCGCGACCCAGCGGCAGCAAAACCACCGCGGCTGCCTGGGGACAGGGACCCGCTGCGGCACACGGCCACCCCAGGCACCCCCTGGCACGCGGCAGCTCCAAGTTCACCCATCTCCCAGCAGGGTGTCCCAGCAGTGCCTATGGGGCTGCACAGCCAGGACGGCCTGATGAGGAGCTTTGGTGTGGGAACAAACCAAAGCAAACTAACTCCGTCCACTTTGTTCCTGCACACAAAGCATCCCTGCTCAGTCCTTCCCCTCTGCTCACACATGGTGTGTAAGCACTGCTGTGGGTGTCCACCTTACAGCAAGGTGAGGAGCGGGACGGGCTTAATAACTGACAGGTCATCTCCTCCTCTCAAACAAGTACAGAGATAGCGTAATTGCCCATTTGCTCAACACAAAGGCCATGACACACTCGACGTGACACCTATTGTGTTGGGACATACACAAGCGCACTGTGAGCCAACTCCTGGGAACTCGCAGCACAAACATTGCATGGAAAAATGCCCAGCCTCCCGAAAACGTGCGGCAGCATGGGCAGCAGTTTGCCCCCGGGCTTTTGAGATTTCCCTCTTCCTTCCCCCATGTCACCTCTTTTTCTGCTGAACTGAAGGTTCACTGAATGAATGAACAATGAAGTGAAGGTTCACTGAAGGTTAGCAAGGAGTTTGGCTTTCCAGTTAGGAGTGGTTTCATGGCACTGGATGGGCATGCTGCAGCTTTCCCCCAGGCACACCAGCCCTTTAAAGAAAAGCTCTTTCCCCTGCACTGGAGCCACAGCACTTTCCTTACACCTTGGAGTTTAGGGGCTGCTGGCAGGCAACACGCTGAATATCTCAGCGTCATCCTACCACTGATTATAAGGAATCCCTTTGCAGGGATAAGGACAACGCTTCCACCAAGCACAGCCAAGATGGGGCAGAGCCAGAAGCCTCCCCAAGCTTCACCCCATCCCTTATGTCAGCTTGCTGTTTTCCAAAGCAGCAGCTATCTCCAGGCAAGACATCTCCTTGTGATATCTCTGAGGTTTACCGGAGGGCAGGGAATAGGTGTATAATTGGGTGTAGAAGGGACATGAAAGCCTGGTGGCCATGATTCTCCTAGAGGAAAAGCTTTAAGACAGCCCGCTGACATTTTCTGCTCATGCCTGAACTCCAGCCTGGCCCTTTGCACACACAGGGTCCTCATGTCTCGTGCCAGCCGTGTCCCAGGAACAAACCATGGAGGCAGCAGCTCCAGTCCCTGCTTTCGCAGCTAGGGTCCTGCGCTCCTCCACCTTGGGCTCTGAGTATGCCGTGTTTCACAAGACGTGTGAGTCTGCACCGCTGTGTATCTCACTGCAATGAAGGCAAGTCCTCACACCGTAAGGGCAAGCAGCCCAGACCCATCTGTACAGCTCAGTATCTCGTCTCTGCCAGAGGCCAAAGGTGGACGCCAAAAGAGTGTAAGAACGGGTTAAGCAAATATTTAAGTCTCTAGTTGCTCTCACAGCCTCCGACAACTCTATTCTGGCAATTGCCTGYGCCATATACGCTTTTTCTGTGTTTTGTAACCCTCAGTGGACTTTGCTTCTGTGAAAATGTCCACCTTYCCCTCTAACTCCCATGCCCTTTAGGCACGATCACATCCTGCAGCAAGGAGTTCCTTGGCTTCGCTACGTGTTGTGAAGCTCACCTCRTGCAAAGGATGTGCTAGCTTCACTTCATGCTCCCCTATTCTTGTCTTCAAAGAGCATTAGATCCTTCCTCATGCCAGCCATGAGTTTATAGGACTGGATCATATCCACTCTACATCATGTTTTCCAAACAGAAAAATTCTAGCTTACTTAGTCACACAGAAACAGCTCCATGCCTTTGATCCTCCTTGCTGCTTTTCTCTGAATCTTCCCCTCTTCTACTAGACCCTTTTAGAGACAGAGAGGCCAGAACTGCATGGAGATTTAGGGTGGGTGAACTGTGGATTTAAACAGTGACATAAAGCTGTTTTCTGCTTTCTCTGTTTTCTTTTTACTCTTTTCTTCTTTTTTCCCCCCTTACTGATTTGTTTTTCTGTGGTTGTACACTGAGCTATCTGAAATAACCCCAAGTCTTACTGTGAGCAGCCAGCTGAGATTTTGTCATTTTGTTTGCAAATCTGGGACTATTTATCCCTTGTGTTTTACTGGATATTTATCTAAATTGAATTCCATCTGCCTGCTGCCCAGTCTTGTAATAGTCTGTAACTTTTCACAGTTGGCTCTGGTCCTCACTATCTTGAGAAATCTGACAGCATCAGCAAACTCTTGTCATATCAATTCTCGTCCCTTTTCTAGATCACTCATGAATGTATCAAAAATAGCATGGGACTGAACACAGGCACCGTGTGGGTGCATGAGCGACAGCTCTCCACTTGTGATCAACTTCCACCGCAAAAGAGAGCACTTACTTACAGAGAGCACTGAAAGAGAGCACTTATGCTGCTCTCTGCTTGCCGGTTGTTAACCAATCGTTAAGGCACGCAACTGGATCCGCACATGCTCCTCTCTTGACCAGCGAGCTCCCTTGAAAGTCCGGGGTGAGAGACCTTGTGGAATGCTTTTAGGGAAGCCGTGGGGACACCAGCAGCCCTATCTCCCTCATGGCCTCACCTGGAAAACACTGCCGTGCTCTCCCCTATGTGCCCCATGGAAGGAGCCTCCCCCAGCACCGCAGCCCTCCCGGTGCCCTGATTTCAGCTTGCCTGATTTCAGCTTGCCGTTACCATCTACTCTGTCTGGCACACATTTACTGCACAGCTTTTCTGTGACACTCCCTCCAGCCCTTCTCAAAACCCAACCTCATTAATTTTGCCACCTCCCAGTCCTCAGGGAGCAGGGCGGTTGTGAATGAATGACTGCATATG